ATATTTGGTTTTGTGTTATATTTGGTTTTGTGTTATATTTGGTTTTGTGTTATATTTGGTTTTGTGTTATATTTGGATGTATTTTTTTTTATTTGGTTTTGTGTTATATTTGGATGTATTTTTTATATTTGGTTTTGTGTTATATTTGGATGTATTTTTTATATTTTGTTTTGTGTTATATTTGGATGTATTTTTTATATTTGGTTTTGTGTTATATTTGGATGTATTTTTTATATTTGGTTTTGTGTTATATTTGGTTTTGTGTTATATTTGGTTTTGTGTTATATTTGGTTTTGTGTTATATTTGGTTTTGTGTTATATTTGGTTTTGTGTTATATTTGGTTTTGTGTTATATTTGGTTTTGTGTTATATTTGGTTTTGTGTTATATTTGGTTTTGTGTTATATTTGGTTTTGTGTTATATTTGGTTTTGTGTTATATTTGGTTTTGTGTTATATTTGGTTTTGTGTTATATTTGGTTTTGTGTTATATTTGGTTTTGTGTTATATTTGGTTTTGTGTTATATTTGGTTTTGTGTTATATTTGGTTTTGTGTTATATTTGGTTTTGTGTTATATTTGGTTTTGTGTTATATTTGGTTGTGAGTTATATTTGGTTTTGTGTTATATTTGGTTTTGTGTTATATTTGGTTTTGTGTTATATTTGGTTTTGTGTTATATTTGGTTTTGTGTTATATTTGGTTTTGTGTTATATTTGGTTTTGTGTTATATTTGGTTTTGTGTTATATTTGGTTGTGTGTTATATTTGGTTTTGTGTTATATTTGGTTTTGTGTTATATTTGGTTTTGTGTTATATTTGATTGTGTGTTATATTTTGTTTTGTGTTATATTTGGTTTTGTGTTATATTTGGTTTTGTGTTATATTTGGTTGTGTGTTATATTTGGTTTTGTGTTATATTTGGTTTTGTGTTATATTTAGTTTCTTGGCTAAGCCAGACATTGCTTAAATCGATTTCAAACTATTTTAATTATTTTTTTTATAATTAAGAATTTATTTTGCTTTAAAATATTGCAACTTATTTTGCTTTGTATTTTAAGTTAATATGCAGATTTCAATACACGAAATTTGAAAATAGAAAATCAATAATTTACATTTTAAATTCTGCATCTGATATTGTTGCATCCCATCTAACTTTGACTCCTGGTTGTAGAGTGTGGTGTAACACAAGTTCTTGACTCTTAACAGATGTTAAAAAAATCATTAAAATATAATTAAGGACATAAAGTCATAATAAACATAAATAAAACTGTTACGATTCATACCATTCATTTGATCTAAACAACGAAATTCGCGATCAGTATAACCGTTTGATATTTTTAAAAAAGTGATTAGTTAATGAATCATGCTTCATTATACAGAAAATGGTATAAATTAATATTTATTCTATACATTATGTTTTCTTGAACATTTTCAACATTTTTTCATCAAACCTCATGAAAATTGCTGTATTAGGTTTCCTTTTTTAAATGAAGATGCAATCCAACGCTCATCCCTTAGATACACTTACTAATTGTAGAGTAGAAAGATTCAACCGATGATTTCAAATATAGACACCCCAATTATATTTTCGCAGTTCATAAAGTTGCGTCCGCACAGTATCGACTTTCAGCCATCCGCTTCGACTGTTTTTTACTTTCTCGTATAAATCGTGCAAAAGAAAATCGAGATTTTTACAAATCTCGACGTTTTACACCTCACTGATACGGAAAAACATAATTTTGCAATCTTGTCCGTATGTCTGTGTGTGTGTGTGTGTGTCTGTGTGTCTGTGTGTCTGTGTGTCTGTCTGTGTGTAAACACGATTACTTGAGTACCGTTACAGCTAGGTTGATGAAATTTCATATATAAGTATTATATCAAAATCGTAGATCCGTATCAACTTTTGAGCGATTTCCGATAACCGGAAGTGGTACTTTTTCTACTTTGAATTTTTCAAAAGCCTATAACTTGAGTACTAATTCAGATAGATAAATGAAATTTCACATGTGAGTAAAAGATCTAATTCTCTACCTTCTATCAAATTTTGAGTAATTTCCGTTGACCGGAAGTACTAATTTACGCTATTTCCGATTTCTCAAAAAACGCATGTAAATTTATAAAGTACTAATAATATTGCGCACTATTACGCACATTTGGTTTTGGTGCTCGCTTGGTGCGCAATTTTTTTTTCTACGAGATTTTATTCTATTTTAAAAAGTTTAAGTATTAAAAATGGATTAAAATTCATGTCTAAATCCCGAGTTCCCATCCTTCTGTTTTTTTATATAAAAATATTCGTGAAAGTTTAGGGGAGATCACTCCCGGTTCATTTATTTTTATGATCAGAAAGCTTTGTCAGAATCCATATTTACTTCACTTTAAAGCTCTTGATCTAGGCGTAATATAATGCAATCAATGAAAAATCTCTTCTCTCTCTCGCTCCTAATTTGAGTGAAAGGTAGCTTGTAAATATTTAAAACCATTTGCGTTGTCTTTCAAAAAACTGATTTGAGAAATCGTTTATTATGTGTGTGCTTCTTTTCTTTAAACAAATTGTTAGAGCAGGTTTTAAAGAAATAAAAATTAAATTATTATGACTGATACATTTTTTAAATGGCTGTAATCTCCTACAACCAGCCAAAACTGCGTTCACACATAAATATATAAAATAAATATATAACTTTACAAATACAAGACAAAAGCATTGTAACATTTACCAGGAGTAATAACATTTGCTAATAAGGCTTACAAAATATAATTGTAAGCAGAAAATCAGTTTTAAAACCAATTGTTATTGGTTACACTTTTATCAAAAGGTATCTCATTCAATTGCTCGTGACATACATTAATTTCTAAAAATACTTACGCTAATAAATATAAAAAAGTAAAAATAAAAATACCTTTGAAACTATACTTACATAATCGGGATACTGCGAAAATATTATTTTAAGATTTTTAGAGCAGTCAAATTGCATTAAATACAGTTTATTAAAAAGATAATGAGAAATTTGTAATTAATATTGAGTGCTGTTTTTTTTCCAATTTTAAATATTCGGTAATCTCAATGTTGCTTTTACTTTGAAAAGCAGATAATCAAAAAGAAACTAATGATTTTTATAAAACATTAAAAACATTCAATCTTGAGCTACTTACAATTTCCTGGATCTCATCTATAGTAACATCCTCACGCACGTTGATGTATCCGATTTCCCAGTGGAGATAATTTTGCGGGTATTTGGCGAAATACTTGTTGTTAATATATATCTTAGCATGCGTTGAATTTAAAACCGAAGTGAAAAATAAAAATCGAATTTAAAATCAAAACTGATATAAAATATTCAATTGCAACGGTGTATATATATATATATATATATATATATATATATATATATATATATATATATATATATATATATATATATATATATATATATATATATATATATATATATATATATATATATATATATATATATATATATATATATATATATATGGTGACAGGACAAATGATCTCAGGACAAATGATCTCAGACAAAATATCTCAGACAAAATATCTCAAGGACAAATGATCTCAACGACAAATGATCTCATGGACAAAAGATACCAGGACAAAATATATCAAGACAAATGATATCATGGACAAGTGATCTCAGACAAAATATCTCAGACAAAATATCTCACAGCAAAATTTTAATAATATGTACAATGATTTTTAGTTGATTTGAACTTTTTTTGTATTAACTGTCAATATGGTTTTGTTTACTCCTTTTACGCATAATAATTGATTGTTATAAAATGAATTTGTTAAACTTAACAAACAAATATAAATGGGTCTTCAGGTTCGTAACTTAAAACTGTTGTTTTTACTGCATCATCAAAACAAAAAAAAGTGTACGTTTCATTGCTGGCATGTACATCGTTATGATCACACATTTCCAATACTATGTGATTATGTATTGTGTGAGCTTTCGCTGTTGCCTACATGTTCTCACTTCACATTTCCAAATCTCTTTGCCTTCTGCACTACTTATGGCTTTTATAAACAGAAATTCATTAGAAACTAATGCCCTATACCCTATTTGCGAGGTAACGAAAGAGGCCTTAGCTGAGTAATCACCACTAATACTGCTTTGTTAGCATGCACACCATGAAAAGCTTCGCTCCGCGATGACCGCTGTCGTTTAAATAAGCATTTGTCACCTGATCACTAAGGTGTGAACGACGCATAACAATTGACATCGGATGCTAGTTGTATTGTCCATGGAGGGCGGATGTCTTTCCCTTAAGGCATGTCTCTGCTATCATAGCGGGCGGCCACCTTGATACAAAGGTGTGTCTTTATTGTTATTTCATCCTCTTGGATCTAGTTTCGTCCACCTGACATGGTAGGATTGTTTCATGTTTGTCAAGCCAACCTACACTTTCTATCGAAACAAACTCTTTAATCTTCGCATTCTTTATTGGTAATCTCTATTTTAAAATGCTTAGTACAATATGGCAAATTTATACGCAAACATTTCGTACAGTTATTATATAGGCCTATAAACAATATTAAACATAGTAAACAAAACCATATGACAGTCAATAAAAAAAACTGTTCAGATCAACTAAAAGTATCCAATACACTTTTGAAATTTTTCTGTGAGATATTTTGTCTGAGATATTTTGTCTGGGATCATTTGTACATGGTATCTTTTGTCCTGATATATTTTGTACTGGTATCTTTTGTCCGTGAGATCATTTGTCCTTGAGATCATTTGTCCTGAGATCATTTGTCCTAAGATCATTTGTCCTGAGATAATTTGTCCGTGAGATATTTTGTCTGAGATATTTTGTCTGAGATCATTTGTCCTTAGATCATTTGTCCTGTCAATATATATATATATATATATATATATATATATATATATATATATATATATATATATAATTTTATATATATGGGAAAATAGTCTAGCTGCAGTACAAGTACAAGTACAAGTACAAAATTAAGCATTGCTTTAAGTTGTGTGTTTGCATCTACATGGTAAGCATATTTATTTTAGAAAACAACTGTGCTACTAAAATAAACGAGCTTTTATTATTACATTAAAACTAGAAGATTACCAACTTCATAGTCAAGAGTCCTGATATTAATCACCATTTGAAATCTTTGACCCTTGCTAAAAGGATTTACTTTCTCAACTTGTATGTTTGACCAACTCTGACCCATTTTTCGTGCCATTACTGTTTTCCTTTCAATGAATCTTGGGTTAAACAATAAAGCAACATTTGGTATACAGTCCTTTTTTACACACAGTCGGATGCTAAATCTAGAAGGATTAAAAAATCGGTCTGTTAAGTTAGAAGAATTTAAAATATCAAATCACTTGTATGTGTAAGAATAAAAATGATTATGTTCAATATATAGGAAAATACGTTTATTTTGAAACATTTTGTGATCATGTAATGTAAATGATCAATATATTGCTACAAACCTATTTGCGTTGTGTGGAACTTGTCCAAGAATAACAATCGACCTCATGCGAAATAAATCTGAATAAAATCTTTTATGGAAAGGTACTTTGTGCTCAAAAAAAAAAGAGATAATGTTGGTATATTAATTAATGCGAGTGACAGATGGTAGACTTGGACATACGTAGTAAAAAAAATTTTGTTTTATTTTTGTTTTAATCTAAATACTAATTTGTGAAAATAAAAACATGCTGAGTAAATTAGGAAAAATTATATTTAAAACTAATTTTTACATAATTTAAATTTCAAAGTAGGTAATAAACAGATATTAACATTAAATTTCCGCGTAAAATGCTACGGCTCTAAACCAAATGATATATATTATTTACACACTACTTCTGGTGAGCAGCCTGTTACCTTTTTGGTGGTGTTTTCTGTATAAACAAGAGCACCATACAACAACAAACACAAGCTGAATGGCGATTTCATGTTAAAAGTACCAGGGAAATTTAGTCGTCTGATACAATGGCTAAAGTCTGGTAAAAAAATTTAACATTGACAGTTATGTGCTCAAATAGTGTCAGTAATTAAATTATTTCCACATTTTAAGGACAATAATACATTACATGATAATTTAATGTAAATTTAAATAAACCGGGAGTGATCTCACCTAAACTTTCTCGAATATTCTTATATAACTCGGAATATGGACATGATTTTTAATTACTTAAACTTTTAAAAATAGAATAGAATCTCGTAGAAAAAAAGAATTGCGCACCCAGCGAACGCCAAACAAAATGTGCATAATAGTTCGCAATATTATTAGTACTTTATAAATTTACATGCGTTTTTTGAGAAATCGGAAATAGCGTAAATTAGTTCTACTTCCGGTCAACGGAAATTACTCAACATTTGACAGAAGGTAGAGAATTAGATCTTTTACTTACATGTGAAATTTCATTTATCTATCTGAAATAGAACTCAAGTAATAGGCTTTTGAAAAATTCAAGGTAAAAACAGTACCACTTCCGGTTATCGGAAATCGCTCAAAAGTTGATACGGATCTACGATTTTGATAAAATACTTGTATAAGAAATCTCATCAACCTATCCGTAACGGTACTCAAGTTATCGTGTTTACACAATCACAGAGACACACACACACACACAGAGACACACAGACATACGGACAAGATTGCAAAATTATGTTTTTCCGTAACAGTAAGGTGTAAAACGTCGAGATTTGTAAAAATCTCGTTTTTTTTTGTTGTTTTTTTGCAAGATTACAAGATTTTATCTATACTTCGTATATACGAGAACGTAAAAATACGAGCGACTTCCGCTTTCGACTGATCGTTTTCATCTTCTTATTATATACTTAATGTCTCGATCAATTAGCATATCTTGGAAGTGTAGTAAGCTTAGGTAGGGAGCAGATGAGGACACACAGCTAAAAAGGGCAAATGTATGGGCAAATCATTATGTGTTTATTGAGACACGGATACACAATCAGGAGCCTCAACCAGGAGTCTCAATAACGAATCTCAATCAGGAGCCACGAATAGGAGCCACAACCAGAATGTCTGTGTGTGTATGTGTGTCTGTGTGTGTATTTGTGTGTGTGTCTCTGTGTGTGTAAACACGATAACTTGAGTACTGTTACAGCTAGGATGATGAAATTTTATATAGAAGTATTAAATATCAACTTTTGAGCGGTTTCCGATTACCAGAAGCGGTACTTTTTCTACTTTGAATTTTTCAAAAGCCTATAACTTGAGTACTATTTCCGATAGATAAATGAAATTTCACATGTAAGTAAAAGAGCTAATTCTCTACCTTCTATCGAATTTTGAGTAATTTCCGTTGACCGGAAGTAGTAAGTTACGCTATTTCAAATTTCTCAAAAAAGTAATGTACATTTATAAAGTACTAATAATTTTGCACACTATTATGCACATTTTATTTGGCGTTCACTTGGTGTGCAATTCTTTTTTCTACGCGATTTTATTCTATTTTAAAAAGGTTAAATATTTAAAATGGATTAAAATTCATGTCTATATCCCGAGTTCATATATCCTGTTGTTTTATATAAGAATATTTGAGAAATTTTAGGTTTATTTTTTACATAATAATAATAATTGTTATTGAAAACCAATATTTGCCCATAGAACACCGGCGCAAATATAAGCTTTGGGCCCAACTTGGTATAGTCACCAAGGGTTTCGATTACCTTACAAACAACTGATTAGGATTAGTTGTAATTTACATCATCGGGCTGTTAAGTAAGTAGCTTGGCTAGAAGACATAACATTGATTTTTTTAAGTTTGTGATAACCGATTTGTGGTAAGGTTTAATTAGGAATTAGGATAAATGACGTGTCTTATTTCTATCATAAGCTAACAGAAAAAAAGTTTTCTGTGGTAAACAGCTGCCACGTCTTGTCTTTATATCTAAGACGTTGTCCTCCTTACAAAACATGGAGCATGATGCCACATAATTTAAATATAGCTTTGTCAGGTCCCCGGCTATGTATGTTGTTATCACACAACAAATGTCTTAGTGAAAGCTCTTTGTTAAAAGCTCTTTGTTAAAAGCTCTTTGTTAAAAGCTCTTTGTTCAAAGCTCTTTGTAAAAAGCTCTTTGTTAAAAGCTCTTTGTTAAAATCTCTTTGTTAAAAGCTCTTTGTTTAAGCTCTTTGTTTAAAGCTCTTTGTTAAAACTCCGCTTCACGATCTGGCGCCCTCTCTTTCGCCCCCACTGTGGGTTCCACTCAAGCGCCCGATGTCTATGCACATTTAGCTACGTGTACAACACCCATCATCGATTCCCTCATTATGGGATTTACTGCTTTATACTTTTGCATTCTCGTTTACACAGAAAAATATTAGGCACTTTGTCTTGTCCTGTCGATCACAGCATCTGTCGGAAATAATTTGTGAAGTCTGTGTTAAGTAGGGGCTGGGCCTGGAGAATCTCTAACTTTTCATATGGTTTTTCACAGAGGCTAGTGCAGGGCCTGGCTAGTTTTAACTAAGTTCTAAAGTAAAGCTTTAGCGATACCTTTTTAAGTGTTCAGCAACAAAGAGTACCATTCAAAATCACCATCACATCTCTAAAATAAAATACACTTACCCTTTTCTTCAAATAAAAAACTGTTTTAAGCCGGTATTTCTACCCTGTGTACACGTATGAGTGATCTACGTGTGTCGTTTCAAATTAAAACCCCAAACACACAAGCTTAAACAGATATGGATCGCAAGTAGTTGTATTTATTTACTGAAGCTCTGTAAATTAGATTTGTAAACTAAAGCTGCGTTCATAATGGCCTGTAATTTAGGGTCTGCTTATTAAATCATTACAAAATGGAAATTAAATGAAATTAATTATAATTCATTTTACAGTTTAATATTTATTATGTAAATTTGAATCTAATTTATTTGTATTTTTACAGCCTATAAAATGTATCTTTAAACATTGTTATATTGTTATTAGTGTTTTAATATATTCTATATATGTTCTAACTACAGTTGTCACTTAGCAGTAGGTTCGTAACACAGCAATATAATCAAACGGTTGAAACATTGTAAGGTTAGAAGAAATAAATTATTTAAAAAAAAATAAGGTTAAAGAAAAAGCTATTAAAATGCACACAAAAAAACCATAGTTCACAAAAATTATGCACATTTTAACAGAAATAACCCTATGTACAAAGCTAATACAAATTCTAAAAACAAATTAACAAATTTAAAAACGATAATAAATTCTAACGGAATTAAGTTAATCTACAAAGCAACACACATTTTCCAACTGTAATATTCAAATACATACTGAAGAGTTAGTATATCATTGATCAAAACGTTCATGCAATGAAATATTCATATTCATCAGGAAGATTTAGTGCGTCATTAATGAGGACAAGAGCTGAGCAGTAACTACATCTGTTTCTATAAAAACAAAGTCGATTCTGTCCGCATGTTTTCACGCCTATTAGATCGAATATTTGCAAGCAAGTACCAGAGGAACCTTTCGTACCTCATTGTGGTGTTTAAGGGAAAACTCTAGCCGTTTCAATAAACTTGTCTGAATTCACAGAAACCTGATGTAGATTGACCTCAGCCTTAGATGAACTACATTTTCAAAGTGCTTAAACTCGAGTCCTTAACAACCACATCTCTCCCCACGGATAACCCAGAGGGGCTGGGCTGGGGTCTGGGTCTAAGAAAAAAGCCTGTGGGGTGAAGAGATTTTTTTGGGGGGTGAGTTGGACTAAGTGGGAGATTAGTTAGTGCAGGCGATAGTCCGTTTTCCAAAGATTCAATTTTATATGTTGCGAATCCAATAAATTTTTATTCAATATGTTAATTGTATCACAAGTTGAGAAAATCATGGACATTATGTGAGCTGTAAGAAAGGTGGCATACTGGAACAGTGTGTACCACAGTGTAGTTGAATGTTTCAGAAATGTTCAAACTGCAAGATAATATTTACATGATCCCTTATAATTTTGTTTTGTGATTCACGGGCTTATTAATTCATTTAAATTTGCTTTAAGGTACATAACACAGCCTTTAGTCCGAGTTTCAGATTATATTTATGATTAGATTTAGTGCTTCAGTTATACCTACTATTTATTGCCTCTACTTAAAAATTGTATGACAGTTCATCTACAACTTGCTATGATTTATAGCCTCTCTTCATGTCAGGTTCAATATTGATTTTTTTTTTTTGCACGATGACAATACTTTTTCTATACTTCGTATATACGAGAAAGTAAAAATTGGGAAGGCTCTCAATCAGGCTGTGCACATCTGGCGAATCATTTGGATGGACCTTGGTAATTTACTCGGCCATATGGAACGTGGGATCTAAACTGACCGACCCTGACTAGCGACTTATATCATCTTTCTATGGAATAATAAATTCCTAAGTCAAAACCCTTCTAATGTGTAAGGTCGATTAAACCTCTAAAGCAATATCTTTTCTGCATATTAAAGCTAATAATTGGGGATAGTTTGTTTCTCATCCCTAAATTAAATCGGACATTTGTAGGCAAATATAAGAGGAATAATCGTGTAAATGTTACCGCAAACTGAACTAGACTGAGCGTCTTTTAAAAAAATATACATTTTTAAAAGAGCTTGAATAGGATCGAACACTTACAGATGCGACATGAATTGGATATTTGGTAAAGAGTTAGCTCTTGCGCTGTTGACACATGGAAAACTACCAGGTGTTCAGAAATTTACAATTAAAAGGTATAAAAATGACCGCTCAATTTTATCTATTTAAGGGACAATACTTCCGAAAAGAAAAAAGAAATTCAAAGTTTTTACACAGAATTGATTTATTGATGTATACATTATTATATGAAACATTTTTTGCTTATTTAGTTGTTGACAATTTAATTATTATACTCTATTTAACTTGAACCTAATTTATTGTTATTTTACACATGTTTTACTAATACATTTACTCTACTACTTTTTAGGTCATCAGTTTAACACTTTCATTAACAGCTTCTGTATTTTTCTCTTCTGAATTGTTAAAAAATTCATCCACAACTTGCTATGATTTATAGCCTCTCTTGATGTCAGGTTCAATATCGAGCTGGGTGGCTTCAGGTGTCAGACCACACCTTCTTCTCAATGTGTTGCCGTAAGTCCAGATCCATTTTGTACAGACTGAAATAAGGAAATATATTTTCTCCGTTTATTGTCAATAATTTTCTTAAATCTTACTTAATACTTTTATCATTGACTTCAATTCTGGTCTTTATTGCGGCGTCTAAGCCACCTAACACAACTCAGAAATGGCCATTTGACCATTGCTCAGACTTTACCCAGTTGTGTCAGTCTTAATATCTTGAAGCCAGGTGTTTTGATAAGCTTTATTTAACTTGCTTCCTCTGTCTGTATGTCGACAGTCTGTCTAGATCGAAACACTCTAGCGAAATTTCGGGGTTTTCTAACTGACAGATTCGTTTCAAAGTTGGCACGTGGGTCAAGATATGAAGACAATGCAATCTGACGGTAAATTTGACGTAATTGGATACCTAATTAATTTTTTATAAATTAATTTAATGTGTGTCAAATTAGTAAGCATTCTTATTCAACTATTCCACACTATTATACGCGCGTTATCATGTTCAATAGGTGCGCAATAGTTTTTAGTCATGCAACTCTATTTAAAATTTTTTTTAAATGTAGCCAAAAAAATAAAAATAAATAAATTCTTTAAAAAAAACGGTTTAATAAAAGTTTTCATTAGATGATATAGTTACTCGATTCTGTGTTTATAGTAATTTAAATAGTAATGTATTATACTACATATTTAAAGAAAATAATTTCTTTTTTTTTCATTTTTAGTGTATTATTACATAAAATATTGTTATTAAAACGTTTTTTTTGCAATTTGTTAATGGTCTATTTCTTAACCGCTACCTGGAGGTATTTTTTTCATCAATAATGAAACTACCTGGTATTTATCCTTTTTTCGTTTTAGTCTGATTACTAATTTATGATTTCTTACCCTGAAAGGATTACAAACTTAATTCAGTGCATTTAATAAGGCTAAAGTTGAATTAGGCAAGAAATGCATTGCGAAAGGCTCACTCTAACATGACTCAAGTGAAACCGTCCGTTAAAAAGAAAGAGGGTACCTAAGACAGGCATTAAGCAGGGGTCTTCTTGAAGAACTAAAGACAGTAGGAATGTTTTGGGAGATTGCTAAATGAACAGCATGTAAAGTAAGTAAAGTTTCCCTTTCAAACCTGAAGTAGAGTTCATTTGTTTCTGTGACTTCGGCATATGAAGAGATAGTGTGGTCAACACTATGCCCAGCCGCCTTAGCTTTCCCTAACGTGAGTTCGGTACTCATCAGAGTTGGGTGGACTCAGGGACGGTCTACTGACTTAAACCCGGATTCGAACTCGAGACTTACGGGTTAGCAGGCCAGCTCTCTACCGCTAGACCACTCAAAATGGGACCAGACAAAATTTAGGTTATGGTTGAGGCCTTATGCTCTCTAAATTGTAAAGGATTAAGTCAAGTAAGTGAGGTTATGGTTGAGACCCTAAGCTCACCAAGTTGTAAAGTAAAGGATTAAGTCACGTAAGTGAGTCAAGTATTAATTGATAGAGTTGCTACAACCATGGGCAGCTATCCTTCCAAAACATAAAGGTATAGTTCAGTTTCGCCACTAGAAATTTATATTTATAAATTCAAATTAACTAAACGGAAAAACTATTGAACTTGCTTTACGATTGTTTGCAATTTGAACTTACTCCATTTATGTCCATAGAGTACGGGACATCCGCCATGTTTTGTCAATAGATCCACCTCATATGCAGGATCAAAATTATACCAAAACAGCGCCATGTTCTGTTAGCGTCAAGAGAATTTTAAAAACTTTAAACATTGACTTTGTGTGGAGTACATTAAAATGTTAAGTACATGGAAGATAGGCGAAGATAGGCGAAGATAGGCGAAGATAGGTTTAAACTACCTTGACAGGTGCTACTGCAATCCCAATCTTAGGGAAGACGGTAGATCCGCCTCGCTGGACATCACTGAGCTACGATTCAAATAAAACATCTACAATACATAACTTTTTTATTGCCATTTTTGTCTACATCATTTTTTTACTTTAAGAATGGACTGACTGCATCAGTAAATGATTTTTCACTTAAAGGATTTTGCTCGAATTTTTTCGGTGAGATTTTGACTTTTTTATAATTAATATAAGAGTTGTATGTTGGGCACAGTATGAAAACAATAGGTTGTTTTAAACTGGAAAGTCTGACTATTGAGAGAGACAGGTGAGTACAATGGTGAATACATGCAAAAGAATAAAAAATTAAAATGTAAATTAATAGCTATTGTTGTTTTATGTGAATGATTGACGTAGATAGTTAAACCTGAATAACATTGTAACTACAAGTCACCTGATCGTCTAGCATGTGCCATAGTATAAAAATACATGCATGGGTTCTTTAATGTTTTTAATAGCTGTTAGTTACGTTCATTGAAAGGAATTTTTTTTTTAAATATAGATAAAAGAAATAAAGAAAAACAAGCTTCTTATGAGATCTAACTTACATGAAAATATTTCGCTTTTCAGATAAGCAAACTTACATAAAAATGTGAGTTATGAATATCATTTAACCTCTATTAAAACTAACATTAAAGATTAGCTTACTTACGTAAATAAGAAACGTGGCTAATCTATGTCCTGACCGTTTCACCCAAGGCGGCGGATTCTAAGAATAAATATTATTATTAATTTTTTTTTTGTAAGTAAAGATACAACTACTCTATGGGGCTATTTTTCAGCTAACTTAAGAGTAAAACATAAATAGACGAGTTAATAAATTACATTTGATCACAAAATTTAAAAATAATGTTTTTAAAAAATAATTTTAATTGAAACTAACACTTCATTTGCATTAAAACCGGACAAGTAGCTTGTAATTTCTACAAGACATTCATCTGCTCTCAACTAGTTTGTGATTTACGCTTTGCCAAGAAATCAACAGATCATTAGTATTTTTAAAATATATAATCCTACATCTAATTATGTTAATAAATAGATATTCTTCCATTGTATTTGAAGACGAGTTTACCTAAACGTTTGAATTAAGTGCCTGCATGAAAAGTGGGTGAAAAAATAATGTACAAGTTTTGCCCCACACCGTTAACAACAAGCAACTAGACGTTGTCAACTACATTAAATGTTATAAAAACTTTTTCTGACCATCACAGGATCGGTGTGCGGTTCGTAACGTCCACCCAGTCCATAGTTGACCACCTGATTCAAAGAAAATTGTTTCTTGTGTAATCGTCTTTATGCTACTCTCGTAAACTAGCTCTCAACAAAAAAAGTAACTAATATGTATTTTAACCCCAACCACACATATAGCTGTCCAGTTTTAATGACATTTTCTAACCTGAAAATCTTCCGCAGAAGTTAGACCGTCCGGTTTTCTCTGTGACGTGTCCAGACCTGTGATGTATCCGATTCTTTTGGAGATGTTCGATACCTGTCCCGACATTTGGTCACCAATCCATGCCCTGTCACGTGACGGAAACAGACGTAAATAAACATGTCTCGTGTTGTAAATGGACACATCATTTGTCCTACTATCTGGTACTGACAAATCGCAGGTGCTAGCGTACTTACAAATCACTGGTTCTAATGTCCGAAGCAATGGCCTTGATTCCTTGAATTTGTCCTCTTTGAAGCTGAAAAAAATATTTTACATTAGTAATAATTGCTCATTTTAAGTTCTATTTTTTCTAAATGTTGTAGTCATCAAACATTGAAGGACATTGGTTTTTTAGAAACGTATCTTTATTTGAGAGCCAGTAAAAATGTTTTGGGGAAAAGTGTAGAGTAATGAAAGATTCTTTTCTATATAAGTTAGTAACTGATTTTGATAGAGAATAAGTTTTTTTAGTGGGGGTGAGGGGGTAGTGGTGGGGGGTAGACTTTAGCATAAAACAATAAGACATCTATCAAGAAAATTAAAAAGTTGAGAGAATCAAAGATAGCAAAACAACATGCAGGACATGTGCCAAATAGACACATAGACTATTATAATACTTGACAGCAGAAATCACATACATTTACTGAAAGGTTTCAATTAATACATTAAATCTTCTGATCAGTTAAACATACGTTTATTACTTAATTATCCAGTTAAGTTTAATGGTGATTAGCTTGTCAATAATAAACGAACTAACTGACCTTATCGCTGACAAAACCCTTGAGGTGGTCGCCCTCAGCGTCACTGATGACGTTGTAGATGACGGAAACAAACGGGGCAACAGACAGGATCTCTTCTTTAAACCTGTAGTAGGGCAGTAGAGTCTCTCTGTACCGGCACACAAGTCTCGGGTTGTTCGGGTCCTGGGTCACGTGGCAGATACACAAACATCTTTAAGATAATTAGATGACAGGCCAACACATAACACGTGACAGATACACAAACATCTTTAAGATAATTAGATGACAGGCCAACACATAACACGTGACAGATACACAAACATCTTTAAGATAATTAGATGACAGGCCAACACATAACACGTGACAGATACACAAACATCTTTAAGATAATTAGATGACAGGCCAACACATAACACGTGACAGATACACAAACATCTTTAAGATAATTAGATGACAGGCCAACACATAACACGTGACAGATACACAAACATCTTTAAGATAATTAGATGACAGGCCAACACATAACACGTGACAGATACACAAACATCTTTAATATAATTAGATGACACATAGGCCGACACATAACACGTGACAGATACACAAACATCTTTAAGATATTTAAACGGTAAACAAATCATACGTTATTTCATTAAAACATGCACCGTTTAATTTACAGACACACAGCAAATATTATATCGTTTATTTGACAGATACACAACATACGCTGTGTTATTTACAAGACTTAATACTATGGCAACAAAATGAGCAAAAGTATTGAAATCGTTTATTTCCTCTATAGTTAACTTGGGACCGTTCGAAGCCACACTTAGAGTTCTACAAAACGTGACACTGCACACAACGTGTAAAGTTTGTGACCTACTTAGGTCTTATTTTTTATAATTTAGCTTATGTAATCGACCTTGGGAGAGTTGTACAATCACTAGTACTTTTCCGTCACGTTATGTGATGAAATTTTAATTGGTTATTTCGAACTTTGGTAAAATTCCCAAGCAATAGTCTTATGATTTTGGAGTGACCTCCCCTGGTTCTGCGCTGATTTAAAACGAAGTGTCTACTCGGAAGAAGATTTTTCTCCCCAACGTCTCCACTTAGTCGGCAAAAGATAGCTCTGCGCATGCGCAGTGACCTATGGCTAGGGTTAGGGCTAGAATGAGGGTTAGGGGTAAGATTAGGATAGGGTTAGGGACAGTGGCGTAGCGAGGTCGGGTGTTACCCGGTGCGGCACTTAATGGTGTCACCCCCCCCCCAGAGGCGTTGCGACCAGTGTTTCTTCCAGACTTTTTTCTCCGGGGGGGGGCACTTGAAATTTTCGGGGGGGGGGGGCGGTAAACTATCTTCGGGGGGGGGGGGGGGCGGACACTGTTAAAAGTATATATTTTCTATACAAATTATATAAATTTCATGTCGTTCGGGGGGGGGGGGGCGGTAAAAATTTTTCGGGGGGGCTTCGCACCCCCGAAGAGATGCCTGGAAGAAACTCTGGTTGCGACCCTTCCCGGGGACAAACTTTCAAGTTTTCGATTTGCACCCCCCCCCTTTCAAACTTTCGATTTACACCCCTCCCCCCTCAAGTACTCGATTTGCACCCCCCCCCCCCCTCAAACTTTCGATTTGCACCCCCCCTCAAGTTTTTCTCTCTATATTTTGCTATTTTTTGCCTTGGTGTCACCCCCCTAAATGGTGTCACCCGGTGCGATCCGCACCCCCGCCCCCCCCCCTCGCTACGCCCCTGGTTAGGGATTAGGATTAGGATTAGGATTAGGATTAGGATTAGGATTAGGATTAGGATTAGGATTAGGATTAGGATTAGGATTAGGATTAGGATTAGGATTAGGATTAGGATTAGGATTAGGATTAGGATTAGGATTAGGATTAGGATTAGGATTAGGATTAGGATTAGGATTAGGATTAGGATTAGGATTAGGATTAGGATTAGGATTAGGATTAGGATTAGGATTAGGATTAGGATTAGGATTAGGATTAGGATTAGGATTAGGATTAGGATTAGGATTAGGATTAGGATTAGGATTAGGATTAGGATTAGGATTAGGATTAGGATTAGGATTAGGATTAGGATTAGGATTAGGATTAGGATTAGGATTAGGATTAGGATTAGGATTAGGATTAGGATTAGGATTAGGATTAGGATTAGGATTAGGATTAGGATTAGGATTAGGATTAGGATTAGGATTAGGATTAGGATTAGGGCTAGGGTTAGGGTTAGGGTTAGGGTTAGGGTTAGGGTTAGGGTTAGGGTTAGGGTTAGGGTTAGGGTTAGGGTTAGGGTTAGGGTTAGGGTTAGGGTTAGGGTTAGGGTTAGGGTTAGGGTTAGGGTTAGGGTTAGGGTTAGGGTTAGGGTTAGGGATAGGGTTAAGTATAGGATTAAGGTTGGTGTTAGGTTTCTGCGGTTTACCATAGATCTCGAGAGAGTGTGTCATGTGTGTGACGCCATTTTGTGTTACATAGTTTGTAGCGGTAACTTTTCCCCTATTATTGGTGATTCTAGTGCGATTCAGTATTTTCAGTAATTTTCCTTAAGCTGTGTTCATTATCCAATGCCATATCTGTGATATTTGTAATCTAGACTAGTGATTTTTCATCAACTGTAAGTTGGATTTTGGTTTATTTTGTACTCTTAGGTTCTGTGTTATTTTGTACAGACCTAGTGTCCCTTTTTATTCATGTACGCATATTAAACGGTTGTTGACAGATTTGAACAGACCTAGTGTCCCTTTTTATTCATGTACGCATATTAAACGGTTGTTGACAGATTCAAGTTGTTGTAAGTCACATCAGTTCAGCGTGTTATTCCCCTAGATTTTATTCACGAGCAAACGTTGAGTTGTTTTTTGTGTGTCTGACACTCCATAGCAGTTGATATCTGTCATTAGCCATCTCAAAACGAGCCAGGGGCGTTCGCTAGCTCTGCGACTGACAGAATAGCGTTCGTAATAAGTTCAACCACTAAACTGCACTAACCCCCTGCGTGCCAACACGACAAATGATATGTGGAACGTTTAATCTTTATGGACCAAAGCATAAAAAATAAAACTGATCCTTACAGGTATGTGGTGCCGGTTCTCCAGTCTACAGAGGCGACTATAGTTCTGGAATGTTTCATCTGGTGGCTCAAATTCAAATTCAAACTCGACTTGATTGTTTAGTTCATGGCCCAAAGCACCGACTTCATCACCTGCTGGCTCTACAGACAAATGTAGAAAAATCGTGTCAGGTATTGCCCCAAAATGTTAAATCATCTAATGAGACATACATACTCACGTCATAGTACTATTGAAACGAAGTAAATAATAGTCTTTCTGGGACGATATGTATGAACAGGATAATACACATATAATCGTGAGGATTAGTAATAGTTAGATAACATAATATCTTTAGAAAATTTTAAATAATTCATAAAAGATTGCATTGTCTTCAAGTATTGATCCTCGTGTCATCCTTGAAAAGAATCTGAAAGAAGTGCCCAAAATTTCGTACGCTCGTTTCGATCTATGACAACAGACAGACTGACGACAGACAGACGATAGACAGATGAAGCGAGTTAACTAAAAGCCTGTAAAAACTTATAATAATCAATGAAAATGATAAAATCATCAAAACCAACCTCAATCATACGAATGTTTATTTGAGACATCTAGTCTGTGTGTGTGTACGCGTGTGTACATGTGTCTTTGTATGTGTGTATGTCTGTTAACACGATACTTAAGTAATGTAACAGCTATATTGATGAAACGGGAAGTAGATTATTCTACTTTCAACTTTTCAAAAGCCTATAACTTGAGTACTGTTTCAGATAGATACATGAAATTTCCAATGAAAATAGAAGATATAACTCTCTGCCTTCAGTTAAAATGTGAGTAATTTAGTTGAAGTAGTAATTTGCGCTTTTTACGATTTCTGAAAAAAAACGCTCATGAATGAAAAATGGATTCAAAATCATGTATATATCTATATCCAAAGTTGTCATCACCCGTAGTGTTATATAAGAATATTTGAGAAAGTTTAAGGGAGCTCATTCTCGCTTTATTTAATGATGGAAAAAATGAACGATTTAAATGTATGTTGCTTTCCCTTGTCTCGACTACAATGTGTTTAAGTTAAAATATTTATGGTGTAAGGTTTAACATTTGTGTCAACGATCACGTGTTACCTAATAGTTTAACCTCATCGTAGATTTGCTCGGCTCTCGCACGATCACCCAACTGTGGAGTAAATAATTCGTTAAAATTTTACATCACGACGTTGGTGAAAAATATACGATGTAACATCATTGAAATGGCGACATTAATGAAAGAAAAACATCAATACAAACAAATTTTGGGTTCTTGATAGAAATATTGTTACAAAATAGCATCGAGATGTCAATAAAAGCATCGATTTGATAATTTTGCCAGAAATGGGCTATAAAAATACTTATTTTAACAATTTAATTAAGTTAGTACATTTTGTGTTCAGTCTACTTAGGGGCAATATGGTGAATCGTAACTTACATTAAACACTGTAACCAAGAAAATTTAGAAAAGAACGAGTAAACATTTGACTTGTGCCATATTGGATGTTTATCTTGGCTGAATGGGGAAACCATTGTTGTGAAGTTTTACATGATAAATTGCTTGTACATATTTATACTTTTATTACATTTTTAATTACATCTCTTTGTGGGCTGAGTTATGATGGTTAACTGTATGGTTAATCGCACTTATATTTCCTTTAACCATTTTAAATTTTGGATTAACCAAATTATATATTAATTCCAAACAATATTTCTTTCCCATTTAAGATTAGTGAGAATCTTTACGCCATTACATAGAGGGTTTTAGTTTAAAACAAGAATAGACTCGATACGTTCACAATACCAATCTTGACTTACTCTTAAGTAAGCACGTCCCATAACTGCTGTTATTTCTGGGATTGTTGCTAACGACGTACTGTCCGTACTGTTGTATAAAGTAATCGAGGCGTTCATCCACTCAATACATTCGTTAAAATGTTCTTCTGGTAATTTAAAAAACAATAATTTAATCATAATAACTAATAATTGGTTAAATCGCATTATAAGTCAGAAAGTCTGCATCTTATATAATAAAAACTATTTTAAAAAATAATGACATCATTATAACTGTTACAATATTCGATTCAAAATGACCATTCCTGTCTATTGTTGTTCCGTCTATATTTTACGTTTAAAGATAACCAAAGTATTATTTTACATTATGTAACTGTTTTATCTACTAACAATAAATATTTTACACGGCGATTTCCAGCTGTCATATATATATATATATATATATATATATATATATATATATATATATATATATATATATATATATATATATATATATATATATATATATATATATATAATATCTTTTCTTAAAAATAATTGTATCAATAAATTACAAGAACTATATTTAGAAAAGTATTTCTATAGCTTCTGGGAAAGAAAAGATGCATAATATTCTGTTAAATTTATCAAGTTACTCTAAAGATTAAAAAAAATGAATGCATCTGAAGCAACTATTAAAAAAAAACAAAAAAAAAATAAATAAAAGTTTGATATTTAATACCATCGACAGCCCCACACAAAATCGAAGAGCAAACTGATCTACCGCTGCTTCTCATTTTTGTGCAATTTAAAATTTCATGAACGTTTGAATAAGTAGTCTCAGGAAACAAAGTCACAATATAGATAATAAACGCAAAACCTGAAAAGGCTCTAGCCCCAATGAGTATAGCATCGTTTGATTTAAGTGGAGGCCCTTGAAATCCAAGATAGTCTCCCCTTGCCATGTCCAAGGCACTCATTTTGAATACCACCTGATTATACAAGAAAACAATTAATTGATAAAATTAAAATAAAAAAACACAGTTATTCAACAGAGTTGACAGATTTAGATTACAAAAATGTGTCAACATATGAATACGAAATTTAGGTAATAAACTTACATTGCCTTTCCAGATTTTTACAAAGAATATAGGTTTAAAATGAAATATTACAGGAGGGCCTAATTTCTTCTTCAAATTAGATTGTAATCAAAACGTTATTTTATTTAACACAATGAGTCGTACATTCAAAGTACTAAGATGTATGACCCAGAGGCGTAGCAAGGGGGGAGGGCGGGGGTGCGGACCGCACCGGGTGACACCATTTAGGGTCGTGACAACAAGGCAAAAATAGCAAAATATATAGAAAAAATTACAATTCCACTTAAGAGTGATAAATAGTGTTTTAAGAGGTGGAAATCGAAAGATTGAGGGGGGGGGGGTGGAGGTGCAAATCGAAAGTTTTAGGGGGAGGGTGCAATTCAAAACTTGTCCCCGGGAAGGGTGACACCCGACGTCGCTACGCCACGGATAGTTTATACATGAAGAATTATGTAATCTGTTTTAAAACAAATACATACAGCCAAAATAATTGTTTATACCTGAAGAATCACCAACGACTTTCTGGCCCCTGCAATATCGTCCTTATCGGCCAGAAAAATTTGTCCAGACTCTCTTTGAATGTTGAGGAAGTTTTCTGTTAGAGAAAATAAAATGTCCAAATATGTGAATTTCTCTTAGCAGTGGAGATTTGTTTATTTGATGAATTGATCATCCATATATAGTACACAATTATTTAGGTACATTTGATTACATTTGAGAATAACAAATAACTTAAACGTTACTTGTAATATGATTACTTACTACAACATACTCCTTAAACCAGACTAAATTTTTCCTAAAAAGTGATTTTTGTTTAATTTTTCTTATACAGAGTATACAGAAAGTATTGTAATCGTGCAAAAACATCGAAATCGAGATTTTGACAGTTAGGTTATGGCCATTTTATACTTCCCTTACGTTATTTGAAATTAAATATGTAGGATCTATTGCAATCGATCGAAAAATCTAAATCGAGATTTAAATTTTTTTTATAACCATTGAGCCACTGAAAAATTGTGTTTGTACATGCAAACATGATAGATTAAGTAGCGTTTTAGTTAGGCTGACAAAATTTCATATCTATGTATCATATCAAATTTGTAGTTTGCATCTAAGTTTTGAGCGAATTCGCATAAAGCAAGTGGTAATTATTCTAATTCCATTATCTCAAAATCCTACAACTTGAGTACAATTTAAATTTAAAGGACGAAAATACATTGTTGCGCGTTTTTCTTTCAACTTGTATTTAATTTCCAGTAAAAGAAGACATAACCTACTTTATTTTATTTCCATTTGAACATGTCAAAAAGACTATTTTCAGTATAGAATCTTGAACTAGGAATTAATCAAAGGAAGAGGTATTTCACTGTATTATTTCTAGTTTCTTAAATACCGGTAATACAGTTTGAGGAATGTGCATTAAATTTTATACATAAGATCTTATTTGCGTGATTTCTTTAATTCTCTAAATCACAAAGATAATCTACTACAGAATGTAATGAGCTAAACCTACGTAAATTGTTGCCCAGAACCGGCGAGTAATCATTGGCAAACTTTTGGATGGCCAGGTACATGGTGTTTGGATGATACAAATCATGTCCTTCTAGCGAGTCATCACGAAATTTGACATCACGCAGTCGGTCAAAATAGAAGCTGGCAAGAAATAGAGATGCAAACAAAATTTAAATTTTCATATAAAATAATATTTGGTTATTTTTGCACATGACTGGCTTAAATACATACTTTTAAAAATTATTATTTTTTTTGCAATTAAAAAAAACTAAAAAAAAAAGGTATGCGTTTAAAAAATTCCCTTGACACGTCCTTTAGCCAGTCTATGTAAACTTACATGGACATCTTCTTTAGCCAATCATACTTCTGGTCTATAAATAGTTTTAATTCACCCAGCATACGTTCCTCATCCATCACCATCCTCTGCACCTTATTAGATGATGTGAACATTTCTGATGACGTCAATGACAGCAAGGCTGACAAGGTAAGAACTGTGACACTGACACAATACATGTCAGTATATGGCAGCAGTAACTGCTGTAAAAATAAACAAGTTTTTGTTAAAAATGAAGAAAAAGCTAGTAATTAAAACCAAAAAACCTTCTAATTCCCACTATGCATTTGAGTCATCATCAAACATTAAATAATTTGATTAAAATTCTTCTCAAATGTACAGTGTAATTAATTTTAGTATGTATTAGAGTACTCGTCATCCTTAAATAACTTTTTGTTTGGGGGAGGGGGGGGGGTCATCCAAAAATAGCATCACGTCTGTCACGAAAAAAACAGACCCCACATTAAAAAAGACATCACACCTCAGACGTTTTTGTCTTTTAAAAACACCGATTTCCGCAGACAATGGGTCTGACCATACTATTCCTTCATATGCTGACGTCACAAGTGAACTCTACACCTACGCAACTCTACTTCACCTGCCCAGTGTTTCGCCAAGTCTCAGACAACGTGTTTTTATCGTTTAAAAAATATTTTGCATGGCTCTGACCACATTATCCCTTCATATGCTGAAAACACATAAACAGGTGAACTCTACTTCTCCTCCCCTGTATCCTGCCAAGTTCCGATAGGTAACTTCATTATTCACATCTTTAAAAAAATTGAAATAAAAATAATATTGACATGTTGTGTCTTGAAGGCGTGCCACCCGCATGGAAACATATTACACAAACGCTTTAGCTACCTAGGCTCTGCATGTAAGACTTGTTTACTGCTATATTTATACTTTTAGTCTGCGTAAGAAACTTGATTTACGCGAATAGGCCCTAGTATTATTTTAATATTAAATTGTATCCTAAATTAAATTAGCCAATTCCATAGCTAAACAAAAAACAAAGATTTATATAAAATAATGAAGATCTAAAATAGTTATGTTTAGACACTCATTATTATCTAGATCTATATCTAGATAGAGTTTTTTAGATCTAGATTCTACGACTTGCTTGGCTTAAGTCTAGCTAGTCGTTTCTAGATCTAGAACCTAAATAGATAAATCCCGTGTATTCATGAATTAGATGATCCGTGAAGCTAAAAAGCAAAGATTTATATGAAATATTTAAGGACTAAAAATGTTTAATAAAGAAACTCAATAATTTATTCTGATTTTAAAAAGATTTTTATTTTTAACTAGATCTAATTCCTTTTGGTTTGACCTAGATCATAGATTTTAGATCTAGGAATATTAATTTTCCATTCCTTTGACAGCTGATCTGTAGATCTAGAGAAACGTTTGTATACTCAAATTAGAAGAACTGTTGAAAATTGATAATAGTGTTGGAACCTAGTAAAAATAGCAAACAGACGTATCGTTTAAGCTATAGCCGACAGAAAATTAGCTTTATAGCGCGTGAAATTTTTGAGTTGGGCCCTAAAATCTTCAATGGAAGCCGCCATTATTGTTATAAAAAGTAAATGTGACGTCACTATAAGTAAAGTCATTGCTCAGAAATTCTATAATAGTGTGGTTAATCTACCAATGAATATATCAATAAATTAATTAACGTCTTTAAATTATTTTGTGATTAACAGTTTGGTTAAAAAGAACATTGTTCTTTACCTAATTACGTATTTTACAGCTCTACACATAGTGCAGATTCTCTCCTATAACCAAACAGAGAAACAAAAAAACAAATATTCAAACATGTAAACAAATTTGCTTTAGTAGCATATAGACAGATATATACAATAAAGCAGGAGTTATATCTCTGTGTCATATATTTATACTAGTAAAAAATGGGATGCTACTTGAAGTTGAATCGGTATATAAACTGCCAGATATATTTAAAATATTTGTGACAAGGTCTCTAGGTTTTATAGGAAACACTGAAGTACAAAGTTCTCAGAATTTGATGTACTATGAGGTAGGGATATAAAAGTATCCAATTCCGATTATTTGTGGGATATCGGTCACCGGAAATCTTTGTTAGCAAACTATACATAGGATATGTGTATTTGAGATTTCATCTAGTAACATCATCATTCATTCTTGTAGAGCCCTTATGGAGTATAGGCACGCAAACACACTTCTCTATCGTACTTGGGTTTTTGGCCGATTTCTTTAAACCGCACCCAGATATATTGATTTTCGGTGCTTTGCGATAAATTCCTTCGAATTTGCCTAACTTATTTTTTGTCTTTCCTTGGGGATTCTAATCTAATGCATTTATTGTTTGTTTTGTTTTTTTGCGGAAAGTATGATTGAAAATTCCATCCACATATTGCATTTCTTTGCCAACAGGGCTCTGCCCAGTTTTTTTCCATATCAGGAAAGAAGAAGAAGAAGGATTCGTTATGGAAATCTGAAGTTCGTTTTTTATTAGTATGTGTATTTCACCACGTCTCAGCACTATAGAGTACATATTTTATGTTACTGCTACAAGTAATGCTGTTCAATCTCTTTTAACTTGCGTTTGTGTATATCTTTGCCAATATAGTAATGCCCATTGTTGTCACAGCAGTAATCTTTTATGAAAGTCTGAAGTTTGTTTTTATTAATTTGTGTTTTTCTCTACGTCTCAGTTATAGAGGTGAAGATACTGTTTAACAGTCGTATTTCTAAACAAGTAGACATTGCTCTTAACGTCCAGATTAACGTAGGGTTTTGAATGCCTACTTGACTTTGCTAATGCGGCATGTCCTAGCCTACTTCCCCACTCTTATTTACTAGTTATATATTGCGATCCACCTTCATAAAAGTCCTTTCTTGAATCTTATTGTATAGCTTATGTTTACTCACATCTTTGTTTTTTTCACTTGATCTTTTAGCTGGTCTTAAACGGTTCTTATAAAAAAATTAGATTAGCTATCACTAGGATTGCTGAAGTAGATGTGAAAGTGAGCTTATTTTCATTCGCAACATTTCTGCTTCAGTAAGGGTTCACTTTGTGTGACCTACTTAGGTCTTCTTTTTATTTATTGTTAATTATATTAATATTTTAAATGGCCTTGAGCTATCTGTTATTCAAACTAAAGAAATTTTCCACCAGACTCATGTGATAGTATTCACCACTGAGTTCGTGTGGCTCGTGCTTTGGCTGCTTCCCCCCAATGGTCCTTGACACTGAGGTCAACATCCCATAATTTCAGAGTGGTATAAAAAGCAGGAATATTCCACACACGAGGCAGCCCACTAGACACCCAGGAGAGAGAGTCACGTACGTCGCCATGTTATATCTTCTAGATTAAGCAGTAATTATCCCTTAGTTCCAGCGTATTCGGTATTTTTCTGTGTCTCATTTTAATAACGTGAGAATTGTGTTGATTACTTAGGTACCTTATCCTGTGTTAGTAGTTTCAGTGTGTTATTCCTAAAATCGTAAGTTGGGTCTTTCATTATTGTATATTTACAGTGGCGTAGCGAGGTCGGGTGTCACCCGGTGCGGCACTTAATGGTGTCACCCCCCCCCCCCCAGAGGCATAGAGACCCTTCCCAGGGACAAACTTTCAAATTTTCGATTTGCACCCCCCCCCCCCCTCAAACTTTCGATTTGCACCCCCCCTCGAGTTTTCGATTTGCACCCCCCCCCCTCAAACTTTCGATTTGCACCCCCCCTCGAGTTTTTCTCTATATATTTTGCTATTTTTTGCCTTGGTGTCACCCCCGTAAATGGTGTCACCCGGTGCGGTCCGCACCCCCCGCCCCCCCCCCCCCCTCGCTACGCCCCTGTATATTTATATTGTTTTTACATAACTATTTATTATTTAGACTTGTTTGCATTTTAGAAGGCTCTAGATTTATTAAAAGTATTATTAGTTGTAGAGGGTCTTCATGTACGTTTTTACCCTAGACATTAGATTCGAGTCCCCGGAGAGTTTTTTTTTCTAGTAGTCTTTTTAGTTTCGTATCCCATCAGTCTAAAACCATCCCAAACGAATCCGGGTATTGCGTAATCTTTACCAGTGGGTTGAGGTACGTAATACTTTGTATCAATGTTTTCGTCTGAGTTGTAACCAATCATAATAGAATCAATGACTGTTAAATAGATAAAAGACGAAAGCATAAAGCCTTATTTCAACTGTTTGTTGATGTGTATCTTCGTTGATGTTGATGAGTTTCGTTGGGTAAAGGAATCCCATAGTGATGTAGTATCGATTTTTTATACTCCTCTATACTTTGTATACGAGAAAGCACAAAGAAAAAATGTTTGAATTCATAAAATGGATAGATCACTTACCAAATAGTCTACAAAGACCTAGCTTGATATTTACCTTTAGACTAAAGATAAAGAAAACAGTATGTTGTTACTTACAACCAAATAATACACACGGCAATGTTCACTCTTTAACACTGGAGCTACTGTAAATCATTTAAACAAAACGATTCGTCTGTGTGCTAATATTGATTTATTTATGCAACACATGGTCGCGATGGTCATATTTATTTGTCACGTAATTAAAATGTACCAGTTTTTAAATACTGTGTTTAAAATGACTACTAGTGCCGATTAAAGAGGCCCTCGTTTAATGGCATCATATGCTGACGGGAGGGTTGATTTTACATTTTATACGGAAGTTTTGAAGAGGGTAAACTAATTTCACCAACAGTCGTGCCGATAAATCAGTAACAAGACACAATTTATCTTTACATTATTATTTTTCAACTTTTAAAGATGTTTTTTTTTTTGCAAATAATTACAACTGCTGTTCGATACTCATTTCATATTTTAAAAAATATATCGCCTTTTCATAAAATGAAAAAGACATCAACAGAGTTTCTTACAGGCATTTTTACCCCCCCCCCCCCCCCCCCCCGCCCCGAACGAAATGAAATTTATATAATTTATATAGAAAATATATACTTTTAACAGTCCGCCCCCCACCCCCCCCGAAGAAAGTTTACCGCCCCCCGAAAATTTCAAGTTCCCCCCCCCCCCCCCCGCAGAAAAAAGTCTGGAAGAAACACTGAACATCAACCATTTATAAAAGGCCACCAGAGATTTTTTACTGTCGTGAAATACTTTCAGTGTGTTCCTTTGGGGTTCTAGAATACGTTCTTCAAAATAAATGTGCTCATAAGAGATCAATTTAATTACCAATGCTTTTTCTGTTGAGTTAGGAGATTGTGGTCTTCTAAAGGCATTGTAAGCCAAGTGATTGTTTTTATAATACTATATGTGTTTATCAAAGTAAATAATTTAAAAATTCATAAAAAAGAACGGTTTAATAAGAAACTTTTTAATAGAAAGAAGAAAAACAAATATTTTCATTATTCCATGTTTGCGCTTCCCTCTCTAACCCTATATCTCGCTCTCTCGTTCTGTCCATCACATATTTCTCCGAGGTTATGAGATCAGTATCTTCAGTAATATATGGAAAACTGGAAGATACAGACTTCTGCTAAAAATAATATGTTGGATATATTAAATGTATAAACAAAATTATATTTAAAGATGGAAAATAAAAATAAAGATATATTCGAATGTAGAAACACATTTTATTATGCAACCGGAAAAGTGTTTATGGTTCTGACAAGAACGATCCAGAGAACGTATAGGTAACACAAAAACTATCACTGGCAAAGAAAATTTCGTCGCATGCAACAAATCGAAAAATATAATTATAAAACTTTTAATAAAAAGTTTAAACTACGGAAAGAACACGACACCAATAATGTCATTGACTGTAAAATAAAATATAAAATAAAAAATGGAATGTCGAAAATTACGCACTATCCTAATGACGTCATCCTCAAAAAGATTCGTGCATCTTCCAATTTTAGAGTATGAAAAAATGAACTATGTAATTTAAATTTGATTTGATCTATAGATCAACCTAGCTGGACATACGCTATGAAATGTATACAATTTTCTCGGCCAAAAAAAAAATTAAAATTAAAAAACGTAAAAAATACTATTGAATAGTCGGGTGTAGTGGAAATATTTACGTTAATTAATCAGTGTGGACATTCAATATGGTGTTGTGAAGAATAATAATCTATATAATTTAATTATTCAAATTCTAATAGGTATTGGTTGTTTATGTTATATAAAATGTGTCGGAGTTTTAGCTATTTAGTTATTTCTTTGCTTTGTCGCTAATATCGTTCAACGTGTAGTAAAGCACATTATGTTTTGACCATAACTATTTTATAAAATACATTTATCAAAACAGTATAACATTTAACAACCATAAGCATATAACTCACGTGTAACTAATTCTAAATTGATTAACACAGCTGTCACGTAGATACCTCTGAAGCAAACATAAAAATAGTTACTTCTACATCGCTACATCGATACATTGTCTAAAATCTAATTAAAATCCGAATCGATACGACGCTCAATTCTTGTTCAGCATCTTTTTATCTATACGATTTTGAGTGTCTTTAAAAAGAAAATAGTATTCACGCACACATGCACACACACATACACACACACACACACACACACACACACATATATATATATATATATATATATATATATATATATATATATATATATATATATATATATATATATATATATATATATAAATTAGGCTTCGCTTAGGTTTTCAAAAACATTGAGAATTTGAATGCTTAATTAATTAGTGATTGGCAGTTATGTGTAGTGCTTAGGTTTAAAAAGTAACGCTAATTTTAGAGAAATTGTTGTTGTTATTGTTGTTTGTTGTTTATAGCCCGTTTTCAGAAAGATTGATGTGATGTTCGCAAAATATGATTCAACATGTAATAAGAACTACAGAGGTTCCCTGAAAGTATAACTCATAATTTATATTACATTGAAATTTAAAATGAATTTCTACAATAAATTGGATACATTTCTTAATTTAGAATTTTTGTTTTACTGAAATGAATGCTATAATTCGTCATTTTCTGTTTATGTTTAAAATAATATAAAATGGTTTTAAAAATAATTATTTTAAAACGTTATCTCCCTTGTAAATTGAACAAATAACGTAGTCTTTGTTTACTTTTTTTCACAGATAGTTGCTATGTTTATATAAGAAAATACGGAAACTAGACAATTTTAAAGACCATAATGGTTTCTTTCCGACGGTAAATAGTTTTTTTGTTACCCTCCAGGGTCGGTCTATGACCTCACAAAATATCAGGGGGATTGCTCGTCAAGTTTTTTTATAGGTCATGTAAGAAGAATTTTAATCGTGGTCACATTTTACATTTTACAAAAGCTGTACTATATTTATATAAGGAAATATGGCATCTGGTCAGTTAAAACATTGTTCTGGAATTTTCCTTCCCGAGGGTAGCACAATTTTTTTCCCTGATCCCCTGGGTCCGATGTACATCTCCAAGAGTTTTCAAACGGTTCCTATGTGGGAAATGTTTTTCGATATATAGCCCATATAAGGCGCCGGTCAGTCCAGGTCTTTTCGGCCAACCCTCACCGACCCTCGTGTTCTATTGACCCAAGGCATGTTCCTGCAAAATTTGACGCGCCTGCGGCACAGGGAAGTGCCGGGCACCCGACCACTTTTCTTTATATATATATATATATATATATATATATATATATATATATATATATATATATATATATATATATATATATATATATATATATATATGATATTAGCGGCCAAATAGTGTGTTAGTCCTTTATTCCTTTAGTCATCACTATATATTTTGGAACCTTAAAAGCAAACACATCACATGTCGTGCTTTTTACTTGCATCGCAGTATCTTATTATAGGTTTAAAAAGTAGGTTTTGTTAAATTTACTTCATAGTTGTCACTGTTTTTACTCTTTTGCATATCGTAAAGAAAATATTAAATACACACACATTGCTAAAACATATCAAAAGGATCCATGTCAAATATTATTTTCGTTTAGATTCCTTGAAAAAGTGGATACATTTTTATAATAATAGGGTCGAAAAAAGAATTAATTAAAATGTTTTAAATTTTCCAAGGCAGTTAATTTTAAAAATAAATTCAACTCACGCTAATAAAAAATTTGAATGAAAAATCCAAAGACCTTCAAGAAAGAATTATTGTTGCAATAATATAATTACCACAATATGAATGCAAATTTATGAATGTTGGCTTTTGTGTTTGTGTGTTGCGTTTGTGTTTTCCTTTGTGTTTGCATTGTGTTTGTTTGCACTGTGTTTGTGTTTTTTTGTGTTTTTTTGTGTTTGTGTAGTAATTGTGTTGCGTTTGTGTTGAGTTTGCGTTGTGCTTATGTTGTGTTTGTTTCGTTTTTGTGTTGTGTTTGTGTTGTGTTTGTGTTGTGTTTGTGTTGTGTTTGTGTTGTGTTGTGTTTGTGTTGTGTTTGTGTTGTTTTTGTGTTGTGTTGTGTTGTGTTTGTGTTGTGTTGTGTTGTGTTGTGTTTGTGTTGTGTTTGTGTTTGTGTTGTGTTTGTGTTGTGTTTGTGTTGTGTTTGTGTTGTGTTTGCGTTGTGTTTGCGTTGTGTTTGTGTTGTGTTTGTGTTGTGTTTGTGTTGTGTTTGTGTTGTGTTTGTGTAGTGTTTGTGTTGCGTTTGTGTTGCGTTTGTGTTGAATTTGCGTTGTGTTTGTTTTGTGTTTGTTTCGTTTTTGTGCTGTGTTTGTGTTGTGTTTGTGTTGTGTTTATTTAGTGTCTATGTTTTGTTTGTATTGAGTTTGTGTTGTGTTTGTGTTTGTGCTTTATTTGTGTTGTGTTTGTGTTGTGTTTGTCCTAGTTTGTTTTGTGTTTGTATTGTGTTTGTGTTGTGTTTATGTTGTATCTGTGTTTTTTTGTGTCTGTGTTGTGTTTGTGTTTTGTTAGTGTTCTATATGTGTTGTGTTTGTGTTGTGTTTGTGTTGTGTTGTGTTTGTGTTGTGTTTGTGTTGTGTTTGCGTTGTGTTTGTGTTGTGTTTGTGTTGTGTTTGTGTTGTGTTTGTGTTGTGTTTGTGTTGTGTTGTGTGTTATGTTTGTGTTGTGTTTGTGTTGTGTGTGTTGTGTGTTACGTTTGTGTTGTGTTTGTGTTGTGTTTGTGTTGTGTTAGAATTGTGTTTGTCTTGTGTTTGTTTTGTGTTGTGTTTATTTTGTGTTGTGTTTGTGTTTGTGTTTGAGCTTTGTTTGTGTTTTGTTTGTGTTGTGTTGTGTTTGTTTTGTGTTTGTTTTGTATTTGTTTTGTGTTGTGTTTGTGTTTTTTGTATTTTTATGTTTTTTGTAGCGTTTCTGTTGTGTTTGTGTAGTGTTTGTGTAGTTTTTGTGTTGCGTTTTTGTTGCGTTTGCGTTGTGTTTGTGTAGTGTTTAGTTTTGTTCCGTTCCCAAGCTGGTACATTTAAAAAGATTTACCATGGCTGAGCATGGATATGCAGCTAGTATATATATATATCTATCTATATATATATATATATATATATATATATATATATATATATATATATATATATATATATA